TTGCCCCATGGGGGCCAACCGTTGAGTCCATGCAGTCCATGCGGTCCATGCGGTCCATGGGGGTGAACTTGGAAGTTGGATGCTGCTCCACCTGTGAATCCACCCCTGAACGAGTAATGAAGAGAGTTCTAAACAAGCGGTTCCGATAGCTAGGATCCACATCCGCATCCAAACTGTCCAGCATCAACACCCAAAAAGGGCCTGGTTTTGAGACACCCAGGCTGTTTTCTGGGCGCAAAAAAAACCGAAAGGTCGAATGGAGATCACCAACAGCTTTGTGGTTGGACCAAAGGGCTCTCCATGGTCACAATCGGAATGCCAATCGCCCGGCTGGCGCTGTGGCCCCTTCTTCGGGACGCGTTTCTGTGACATTCGGGTCGGTACCCAAGGCTTCAAGGCCTCCCCTTGCCATCTGGAACAGGGAAGGAATGCTTCACTTGTTGAGGGGAAAACTCACTCCATTACTGGGCTGAGTTGATGAATCTCGGGCCTACATCAACCAAAAATGGAAACCGACCACTCAAAACGCTCTTTTGCTCTTTGGGGGGGGGGCTTGAAAGGAACACTTTTTGAGACAGACCTACATCGGCTGAGGCACATTTTCACAGGCGTTATGACGATCGCGCGTGTAAAGCGGAATGAGCGGGCTGAATCTTCTGGCCAAGGAGGATGAGACCACTTCAGTTCGAACTCAGGGTGCTCCTATGTCATGAAGTATTTCTACCAGAGTCTGAGTTTTGTTGCTCGGGGTTGTGGGGCACCTTAAAGTCAATGTGATTAGATATGTATATATACATAGTCAGCCCCTCGGAAAATGTATTCATGCCAAGGCTCTGTGCTCTGTCTTCTTCATTTCTTGTGTTCTTTGGTTGCACTAGATTGCACTTAATTGGTGATGGCCTTGCAAATTGCTCCTTCCTGATTCCCGTCTCAGCACATACAAGACTGTAAGCACAAAGGTGCAGTGCATGGTACGGGAGTGCCAACTGAACTTGGCATTGGCATGTGTCCTCTTCTATTATTCTCATGACGCTCAAACATAATTTCTGATGTTTGGTCTACCCAGTGAGTGGCATTCATTTGAAGCGAATGCCAAGCACAAAACAAACGAAAGCCATCCACCCGGCAATCTTGATCCGCTCTCTGGTGCCGAACCCTCTCTAAGGACGCTGAAGCTGACGCAACTCCGGCCGCGCCAGAAGCGAAATGGACCAGGGGCAAACAGTAGCCTGTCCTCGCTCAGAACACCTCAAGGCTTGAAAGAGGCACAGGTTACAACTTAATTTCAGCTTCAGCCCCGAACCAACATGTCTCTGTCCACATTTAGTGAGTGCAAACTACCTTCAACGCAGATCTCAGTTCAAGTCAGGCGCCCATATCAGATGCATGACGTCTAAGCATGATCCACGAGGCGGAGCCGAGTTTAGGAAACACCCACATGGCGCCGCCCTATTTCTTGATGGTTATTCGGTAGTCACAAGACCAAATCGCAACCCGACCTGTGGGGCCCGGACTCGTTTGAAACAGCCAAGCTACTTCAAATTGTTTTATCAAATGGCAAGGATTTTGTTTCGCCTTTTCGAAGTCCCAACTCACATTTCCGCTCTTTGAGCAGCCAGGATTGATGCTCATACCTCGCAAAAGAGTTGTAGGTAGCAGGCGCCCCTGAAGAATCATGGGTCAGCACTCAAAAGGGGTCATCACGAATCCCCTTTTGGATGGTGTTTGATGGAACGCCAAAAGGAAACCACCCTTTGCGGGAGCCCATCTAACCCTTCAAATGATCATCTACAAATGTCGTTTACAAACAAAACAACCATGGCCCCCATAAATTGAGCACGCTGGTGGCTGGCTCACCCCTCTCAACAGGCTCTGCGAAGTTTGGGCCGCGGCCCTTCCCAGCTAGGCGCCAGCTCTATGCCATGGGACTCTTTTGGACCAAATCTTGGATCTGCACTTACCTGCCACTAACATGGAGCAGGGTCCCTTTTAGCAAAAACCATCTTCCAAAAACCATCTGCTGGTCACTGCAACTCGCCGACTTCAAAGGAAGGCCTTAGAGAGCTTCGTGGTGTGTGGTCTCTTTGTTTACCCCAACGTGGGCTTGCTTTAAATTGTGCCGTCCGCATGTCATGTCCTGTCCTGGCCGAAACTTATCCCACAAACAAAGCTGGAAGTGCTCAGGGTTCGCTTCCAAGATAGATTTCGTCTTCGGAAGACGGGTTTGTTTGTTTGCAGAGGCAATCCAGAATCCCCTGGCTCTGTTGTACTTTAACACAAAAGACCACCCTCGACCCTGACCAACTTAAGTTGAGGAAGGGTTCATTTACAGCAGTGAGCTGGGATTGACTCAATCGAACCTGACTGATTCTCCCGAGGGCTGGGCTACTGCCGAATCGGACATATTCCCTACGAGTGAGCAACTAGGAGCCCAGAGAACCGATGGCCAAAACCCGGGGGGGGGCGGGGGGGGGGGGGGGGGCAGCCACTCTTGAGCCTC